TATATGACGATAGCCAGCTTCTAAAAAAAAACATTTAAAATTTAAATAAATAAGGAACTATTACCGAGTGGTATTCTTGACGCGTAGAAATCGTTGCGATTTTTTCAGATCATTACACTGAAATTTTTTGAGTACCTCATATCTTTTTACACCATTAAAATAGACATAAATCTCATCTAGTATTCCTAGAACATTTCGAAGTTCTTTAATTGATTGGCATAATTGAACAACGATTAAATTTAATCGATGACAATAACACTAAATAAAAGCTGCCTTTGGCGCCTCTGCTCTAATCAAGGCTTGCACACCATTCATTCTTCCACTCATGTTTGAGGCGCCATCATAACTTTGCCCAACTAGTATTCAAGGGGTAAATTCATTGAGCCAAGTTTAGATATTATATTATGCTTTATATCGAGACCTGTGGTATTTCCCGTACAATATATGTCAATCAGTCTTTCAACAGGCTTCGGCGTCTCACTATTTTCAACATATCTTACTATCAAAGCTATTGCTTCTGATTTCGAAACATCGTATGTGCCATCAACTATGATTGAAAAGCACCTGTTAAATGTAATCTCATTTTGAATTTTTTTTATAACCATATTTTTCATGGTTTCAATGAGAATGTTTATGTTATTATATGATAATAGGTTTGAATATAATTTCGTTTTTAATCCCTTATTTTTTTTATCCTTTTTTCTTTCTTCAATTTGCTGTATATACATTTTTAGTATAGGTTCAGAATCTGTAATAAGCTTAATAAGGGCCATCATATTGCCTTCTTGTTGCCTGTTCGCCCAGAAGGCTTGGTTACGAGATATTAAATAATCTAAACATCTTATTATTTCTTATAATAGAACGGTTATTATCTACACATTCTTTCTGAGGTGTTATAAATTTTAATATCCAATTTTTATTATGAGAAAGCCTTCCATAATCGGCCATCATATGTGCCTGTGAAGATTCATGCAGAATAATATCACGATTAATAATTTGCCATTTATCTAGACCTTCACATGTCCATTTTGAATTTGCGTGTGGACCACCAAATAAGAGACATGTTAAGCAAAAAACCTTATACATTTTAATACTATAAGTAATCCAATTTCTAGGAATTTTGCTATTGTCAATATTGGTTAATATTTTTAAACATATTTTAAAATTGGAAAAATAATTTATGACAAGAAATTTCGGATAACAAATTTACTAAACATCGACCAAAATTTCCATCAATATATTAAATTAAATATTAAGTGGGGGGGGGGGGTCTTATTATTACATTTATAAATCAGAAATCACATGATCATGATGGATGTAAAAAAAAGTACCCCCACTCAAATTTACTGAAGCAGTTGCTTCGGACTCCCCCCCCCCGTTGTAGGGGCCCCTGGTGATACTTAGTGAAAGTAAGTGTTAAAGAGTAACCCAGTTTACATTGGTCATAATGTTTTTTGAACCACATATTCAGTTTAATTTAACATAATTTAATAGACTTATTCAAATATTTAAAATTTTCAAAACAGGGAAATGTGATTGAATAAGGCAATTTATATGAAGTAGTTGCTTGAAATTTTGTGATATTTAGTGATACTTAGTGAAAGTAAGTGTTAAAGAGTAACCCAGTTTACATTGGTCATAATGTTTTTGAACCCCATAAGATCAACTTGCATTCAAATTTCCTATTTTTAATTAACACTTTCTTGATTAAATTTACACAACGCTTTAACATAATTAAAGATTCTTATTCTTAATTTATAAAGTAGGTAAAACATTTAGTATAATTAACTTAATTTAATATTCTTATTTAATTATTTAAACTTCAGAAAACAAACAGATATAAGTGAATAAGGCAATTATAAGGATTAGTTGCCTTTTGTGATATTATAATGAAGAGTATAGAGTGAAAAGTGTAAGTGATATGTAAGTGTTAAAAGAGTATATATCTTTTCTTTTTAGAATTTAGCTTAATTTAATAATCTTACTTCTTCTAATATTTAACTTATGAAATCAGTTATTTTAAAAGATATTCCCATTTTAAGATTTACAATATACTTGTATGATCCATAGCCTTCAGCCTGTTTCACATGAAAATCCTAGAGTGCCCTTATTTAGAGAATTTTTTAAAATAACTGGCACTCCGATTTCAGGAATTCAAGGAAAATGATTAACTTGTTGAACCATCGTCCAAGCAGTATTATTTATAAATATCTATCCATTTTTGCAAAATCAAATGTGATAAAATGTTATTAACGAATATGGTTCCTGTTCTAAATCGCTAAAAGTAATACGCAAAAAATAATAAAAAATATAATCTATTTAAAAATAAATTAAGACTGTTGGTAGGATCATCTGTTTGTATAAAATAAATAAATAAAATCAACAAATAAAAATAATAAAAATAAATACCTACCGATGACATGACGTAGCGATGACATGACCTCACGATGACGTAATAAGGACATCGGAAAATTATAATATAGATAATTCTCCCTATATTTATAAAAAATAATTTATATATTTTTAACAATTATCTATCCTCCTGGCTTTTACAAATATGTAAGTTTAATTATGTGCAAGAAAGAACCTTCTTATCTTCTTATGAAACTTTATAATGAGTTTCCATTTATCTTAATTTTTCTTTATAAAATTATATTTAATAAGATTTGAGGAATATTGCTTTTTCTAATTGGTTTAAAGAATGTATTGTTATTTACTATCAAATCTTTATTTAACATTTATAACAAACATCTTTTTTAAGACATAAATATCCAACGGTCTATTTTAAGACTAATGAATACCCAACTGTATTTTTTAAGACCAACCAACGGACTTTTAAGGGCCCCTAAATTTTAATTGAAGTAAACTAGTTTTATAATTCATGTCATAACTCAAAAAATAATGACGGAAATTTAAAATTTTTTTCATTTTATGTTTATATGAGTAAATTTAAACAAAATGAGTCAAAAAAATAAAATATTTTTAAAATCCCAAAAATCTAAAATTTTTGACTAAACTAATTGACATCATAACTCAAAAAATAAGACGGAAATTAAAATTTTTTTTTCATTTTATGTTTATATGAGTAAGTTTACACAAAATGAGTCAATAAATAAAATATTTTTAAAATTCCAAAAATCTAAAGATTTTTGACTAAACTGAGAAGTGAGAATTGACATCATAACTCAAAAAATAATGATGGAAACTTAAAATTTTTTTCATTTTATGTTTATATAAGTAAGTTTATAACAAAATGAGTCAAAAAAATAAAATATTTTTAAAATTCCAAAAATCTAATTGACTAAACTGAGAATTGACATCATAACTCAAAAAATAATGACGGAAACTTAAATTTTTTTTCATTTTATGTTTATATAACTTGTACCAAATAAATTAATCCAAAGTAAAGAATTATGCTCCTATAATTCATATTTTTTTTTAATTAAAAACTTAATTTTTAATCGCCATCTAACGGAATATATTTATGATTTTTAAAATTTATTATGGTTGTTATATTTTCTATGTAACATATCTGTTCTATACATATTTTAAATTTATAAAGTACAATTTTATCTATTTACTATTTTATTTATTTAGATAAAATTAATTATGGATAAATTTGATTTACATAATAAAAACATTTTATCTTTTTAAAATAAATTTGATAGGCTATAAAATAAAAATAAATTTTACCTGTCAATTCTCAGTTTACGTCCATTCTTAGTTTAGTTACACCGTTCTAAATAAACTATCGGCAGGGGTGCCTTTGATCGTAAGACACTTCATCGTATTTTTCGTCCAACTCGTCCAATTCGTTCAAAATGGAGATTAATAATTTTGAAATGGTAAAATTTAATTTTTTACCATAATCTTACGTTAAATGTTAATAATTCTTTTGGAATGTTAATATTTCTTTTGGAATGGTAAAATTTAATATATATTATTCAAATATAGAATATTTAGCAGGTTTCAAATGGCAAAATATAATTGCTACAGCAAATTAAGAAGATTAATAGGTTTAAAATGGTAAAATTTAATATATATTATTATTCAAATATAGAATATTTAGCAGGTTTCAAATGGTAACAATACAACCTAGGATATAATTTATAATTAAGAAGATTAATAGGTTTAAAATGGTAAAATTTAATATATATTATTATTCAAATATAGAATATTTAGCAGGTTTCAAATGGTAACAATACAACCTAGGATATAATTTCTATAGCAAATAAAGAAGATTAATAGGTTTAAAATGGTAAAATTTAATATATATTATTATTCAAATATAGAATATTTAGCAGATTTCAAATGGTAACTAGCTCTTACACAATATGAAAAGAACAACCTAGGATATAATTTCTATAACAAATTAAGAAGATTAATAGGTTTAAAATGGTAAAATTTAATATATATTATTATTCAAATATAGAATATTTAGTAGATTTCAAATGGTAACAATTTATCTTAGCTCTTACACAATATCAAAAGAACAACCTAGGATATAATTTCTACAGCAAATTAAGAAGATTAATAGGTTTAAAATGGTAAAATTTAATATATATTATTATTCAAATATAGAATATTTAGCAGATTTCAAATGGTAACAATTTATCTTAGCTCTTACACAATATCAAAAGAACAACCTAGGATATAATTTCTATAGCAAATTAAGAAGATTAATAGGTTTAAAATGGTAAAATTTAATATATATTATTATTCAAATATAGAATATTTAGCAGATTTCAAATGGTAACAATTTATCTTAGCTCTTATACAATATCAAAAGAACAACCTAGGATACAATTTTTACAGCAAATTAAGAAGCTTATTTTATTATTCAAATTTATAATGTATATGACATATGTTAATTATTTCAAATGTATAAATCGAATACAAAAATATAAACAACTAATATTTATTTAGCATGTATAAAACAAATATAAATTATTTACAATAAAAATTATATATTATCAAATAAATTTGAATTATATATTAATTTAATATAAGCTGATGCTTTATCAGCAAATTCTAAGGGTTGACATGGAGTAAACATATTGCCTAAAATAAACTGTTTATAAAAATAAAATAATTGATGAAACTAGTTATAGTAGTTTGCTACAGAGAGTTGAGATGGGGCACATATATTGCCTAAAATTATATTGATTATAGAAATTTTAATTTGTGAAACTTGATATGGCATTAACAGGTTGCATGTTCTGTGTTACTAAGGGTTGACATGGAGTAAACATATTGCCTAAAAATAAATTGATTTAGTGATTTATTTATAAAAATATTTACCAATATGTGATTTACACTGTTCTATGGTATGATCCTGCATCTCTGTGAACCTACCTGATTGTAAAATACCCCGTCCTAAGCAACTCCTTTGTCTACACCTGTAATACGATGTGGCATTTATTACTCTATGGATGGTATATTCTAAATCATTAAAACATAAAATATCACGTCCTCTTTTGGATTTTTTATTAGTAATTTTGTTTTCTAAAATTAAAACTAAATTATTTATATATAATTAGATTGCTAACTTTGAATTATAGTGGGATTAATTCTTCTCTCAAGAAGAAGTTTGATATTGTTTGACACCGTTTTAATTTCCATTATTATGATTAAAATTAAAAATATGTTTACACTTTTGTATTTCCCGCACTTTAATGGACCAATCACAGAATTGGACGAAACTTTACGATGAAGTGTCCATACGATCTTAGGCACGGAAATCAAACTATCATACCCAGAAAATGGATGTGTCTGAAATAGTAGCATTTAATGTATATATATTTTACATGATTATCATCTATCAATATATTTTAAAAGCCTGATAAAGGAATAAAAAGGATTTTTAAAGATCTTTCAACCGTCAAAAGTGATAAAAATATGAAATTTGATTCCCAAAAAGATTTAAATAATATTAAACCTGAAGAAATAGCTAAATATCTAGAAAATTCTGACGATGTAGAAATCGATGTATTTGATGAAAATGCCTTGAAAAGACTAATATTATTATTTGAAAAAAGAATATATAAAAATCAAGAATTACGTATAAAATTTAATGATACCCCAGAAAAGTAATATTAATGTTTTACAATATCTTTAAAAAAAAACCTCTAGGTTCTTAGAATCAGAACTCAACTTACATAATGTTATCCAGCAAATGCATATTATCTCAACAACACCAAAATTATATTACATATTGGTAGAATTGAATTCAATTAATTCTATTATAAATTTATTATCTCATGAAAATTCTGACATATCAATAGCAATTTTATCATTGCTTCAAGAGATGACTGATTTAAGTGTGTCAGATGGAATATTGGAGGACTATGAGTCATTAGAATCATTTAATACCTTTATTGAAGCTATGGTTAGCTTTTTTTGTTAATTAGTTTAAATTATATTTAGTTAAATACACAAATTATTCAATGCATTGTGCAAAATATGGAAAGATTAGACGAATCTATAAAAGAGGAAAGTGCTGGTATATATAATTCATTAGGTGGGTATATATTATATAAATCACTGGATTATAAAAATTATCCTCATTTTTATTAATACTTTAAACATTACTATAATCAGAAATCTGCAAGTCTGGGTACATGAGCTTAGCAGTATTTTAATTTTTTTAAATTTTACTGGGCCAGGCCTAAAAAATTTTTTTTTTATAAATCACTGGATTATAAAAATTATCCTCATTTTAATTAATACTATATACATAAATAATAAGAAACCTTCAAGTCCTAAAATTTTTATCCATGAACTATTAAAGCTTACATATATGTAGACCTAACAAGCTCATGCTAAAGGGCTGCAATGTATGGGTTTCTGAATTGGGCAGTACCACAATTACTTGTTATCATTCAAGATCCATTTATATCTTATACTTCTTATAATAATAAAGTTACTTTATTTTCAAAAGAATCATCTTTTTTATTTTATTTTTTGTTTAAAAAATTTAAACCACAAATAACCTTGTTTGAATTCTTTAAGCATTACTAATCAAAAATGAAGTTGGAAAATTTATAATAAAGAGAAAAGAAATAAAGAATAGATGGAAAGGATATTTTCAGGAGCTTCTCAACTTTAATCCCCACATATTACATCTAGATGAACACCCTACATGTTAAGATGACATTCAACCAATAACAGAGTACAAAATAATAAATTGCTTCTAACACATGAAAAATTATAACGTAAGAAAGCCTTAAAATGCCAGGAGATGAAGGAATATAGCTCCTCACAAATTTATACAGCAAAATACTAATGAATGAAGAGATTCCTCAAAAATGGGGGCAGAGTTATTTAGTTCCTATCTTCAAAAATAAAGGGGGGTCCACATAATTTTCAAAATAAAGGGGCATTACAAAAAATAATAGAAAAAAGATCAATTAACATAATCGAAATAGGCTAGATTCAGTTTTGTTTCATGCTGGGAGGATCAACGACTGGCAAAATCTACACATTTAAACAAATGAGTGAAAATATAAGGAAATCAACAAAAAGCTCCATATGATCTTTCTTGATTTAGTGAAAGCTTTTGATAGAATCCCTAGGAAACCTATCTGATAGTTGCTACACCACAACAAGGTATGGAAAAATATATGAGAATAATACAAGACATGTTTATGAACTACACATTTTGACAATGATTCAAGGTTATCCATGATAGATGTCTTATCACAGGCTATCTTGGAAACTAGAGATCTTCAAAGCCTGGCTGTGAAATTTTTAAATAAATTAAAACAGGTAGGACCAAGCAAAATTTATAAAGGGCTGGACAAAGTAAGTTTTACATAAAAATTTCAGAACTGACTGGGCTTAGAAATCTGACTGTGCCAGGCAATTAGATAAAATAGTTTGGGTTGGGCTTACATTTTCTAATATATATATGATTTTTTTATAATGAAAAATAAATTAGTAAAATAAAAATAATATTCAATTCAAACAGATTATTTTAAAACTCATTTCTACCCCCCCCCCCCTTCATAATTTTTAATTAAAATATATCCAAAGAGTTAAAAAATCCTTTTATTTATATTATTTTTCTTTTCTAATAAATTAAAGTCTTAAATATAAAAACATAAATGATGGAGATAAATAGTCTTAGGCTTGTTAATCGATCCTTTTAAAAAGATCAAATCCCGATCATGATCTTTTGAAAAAAATAGGATCGAAATCCAGGATTGACCTTTTTTAAAAAAAAGGATCGCGATCACGATCCTTTTCTTATTTAAATTTCTGTTCAATGCAAAATTAACTAATATAAAAATTAATTAAATATGGTATAGATTTATTGTAATTGAATAATAGAATATAAGTATAACAATTAGAATACATATATATAATTATAATTAAAATTAGCCTTTAATAATAAAATTTTTTCTAAATTATTATTATTTAAACAACCACGTTTTTCATTAAGTATATGTTTAGCTTTACTAAACAAGCGCTCCACAGGAGTGCTTGATGGTAAAGATGTGTTATATTCAATAAATGTTTATTTAAAATTAACATAATTATTAAAAATATTCACAGAATCATTATTAGAATAAAAAAAATTATTTATGGAAAAAGCATTTTGTGATGAATTTTTCCCAAAAAAGGTATCGATTTCACCCATGCCTTCATTTGAAGGATCTGCATGTGGTTGACCCTGTATATTTTCTAAATGGGCAATTAACCTTTCTTTTAGCAACAAATTTTGTGGCAGATTAATAAAAAGCCAATTGAGCTTAAACTTTGGGTGAATTATTGATGCCAATATATTACTGTCATCATACAGTGAAGAAAATCTATATTAATAAATGATAATTTATTTATTATTAAATAAGTGTTCATTCATATAAATCAGGTATCTGCAAAAGTTAGCCCTTTCAAATTTTACAGTCAGGCCTGACTAATCATCTGTATAATATTGATTAAATTTAATGATTTTTAATGCCTATGATGATGGCTCATTAGAATTTTTATTAAAAGCTGTGAGAAAATATTTTCTTATATGAATAATACTGAGGTTTTTTAGGTATTTAAGAACTTATGAATTAATGGTTCAACACAAATTTATATTATTTACATGTGGTTAAAAGGGTCATATAGTTATCTTAAAAATTCAAGTTAAAATTGAACCCAAGATGATATGGGTAAAAGATTTTGAGAAAATATTTTCTTATGATATGAATAAAATGAGCTTTTTTAGTAGAATTTAAAAATTTATGAATAAAGGGTTCAACACAAATTTTGTTAAATATATTAAGTTTAGTATATTATTTATATGTGGTGTTTTAAATACTAAAAATTAATTTCAACTCCCATTAAAAATATTAGTCTCCCTTTCATATCAATGCTTAACACATCAATAAATATTTTATTAATTATTGTAAATAATTCAAGGTTCAAGATAGCTACGCTAGGTTTTCCTCATTGCCACCTAATTGGAACTAATTTAATTGGGGTGTAAAATTAAAAAAATGAGGAACCCTCTTTGTGGGCAAGCCACATGTATGTAGGCACAACATTTGGAAAAATGTTACTTACACCTCTATAGGATTATTAAAAAGGAGTGGGGCAGAAAAAGAGCATATACCCGAGAACTACAGTAATTTAATTACTTTAAGGGTGGGTGGTGGCTGATTTTAAGTTTTAATTCTTTAGTGTAAGTCTTAATGATTGCTATCAATATTGAGATTTAATGTTCATAGAATCTGTAAATAAAGATGATTAAATAATAAAAAAAATTTGCCTGATCAGTATGAAATATTATTTTTTATTGATGATTCATCCATACAATACAGTATTATCACTTACTTCCAAAATTTTTACACCGGATGAACCGTCCAAGATAATATTTCTTCCACCATTTTAACAAATTCTTTTTGCTCAACTATATAAAATGGATACATTCCGGCTATTTTGAAATATTAAATTCCGGAAAATATTTTATTTTCACATGTTTTTATGCGTAAATTGGAGGGAAAAAAAATCAGTTTAAAATTTTCACGGATAAAAAAAATCATTAAAAATATTATGAATCAATTGATAAATTGTTGAAAAAAATCTGGTGGAATGGTGGTTGATAAAATATATGATATAGATTGATATTTTTTTTAAAATAATTTTAATTTTAATTTCATTTTCAAAATTTTAATTTTATTTATTTCTTTTTAAGTAAAAAAATAATTTTTAAAAGGATCGGGATCGAATATTTAAAAAAATGATCTCGATCACCATCCACAATTTAAGGTCATGATCTTAAAAATTGACAAATTTAGGATCGAATCCAGGATCGGCGATCTTTTGATTCGATCCTTTAACAACTCTGAATAGTCTATTAGATGATATAAGGAATGAAGCGTGGAATGATAATTTTGTAATAAAAATAATTTTATCCTCTATTTTATATAAAATTAGAGGCTGGGAATGGGATCACCATTTCACAAAATTTTTATGGCAGCCCAGATATTTTTTGAATTTCAAGCTAATATTTTGATTAATACTATTATACTCATTTATATGTATTTTAAAAGAGTTTAACCAAAATACTAAATCTAATAACAGTTGTTAAAAGATACTTTTTAAATGGATCTAGATACAGATCATCTAAAACTAGATATAGATATATTGTCTAAAAAGTTATCTAGATACAGATATAATTTTTATTATACTTTTATATAAGGTTTGCATAAACCTAAATGGATTCTATTTTGAAAATTCATGAAATGAGCTAAAATATTTATTGACTCGATATAACATTTATCAAAATATAACTAAAATAATGATTTTTAGATTATTTGTCAAATCAATCACTTTTCGACCGACCCCTTTCGATTTCGATAAAAAATCGTAGGCTGGTTATATATGTTCCCATTAGATCACAAACAAAATTTTAGCGCATAGCAACTATATTAGCAGAGATAATCGGGGTTAAAGGTCCAAAAAACGTCTTTTTTTGCTTTTTACTGATGTTAAAATTAGTTTTTAATTTAAAACGAAATATGATCAAATATTGAATCTAATATCAATAGCTAAGTTAATAATTGATAATTATGGCAAAAACATCAAAATTATTTTTTTTTAAAATATGGGTCATCTTATGGTCAGTTGAAAATTTGAAATTAATATTTCGAAATGAATATGATCTCCAATTTTTAATTTTTTTACGAAATATTATCCGTTTACTATTTTTTTAATAATTTCTTTAACAATTAGGATGGCTAAATATTTATTTAAAAAAAATATTGCCATTTTTATACTTTAAAAAAATAGATGGCGCTATATATAATATTTTTATTATGTTAAAATTTGTTTTTTTGGTTGATTAAAAATATTTTAATTTATATATATCATATAAATTAATTAAATCTTACTTCATCTAAAGGAATACAAAGCCTGGTTAGCTTGTGAGATTTCTTCAGGAGATAATATATATGTTCGACCGGTGGGAGTAGAAAGATTGACCAGCGAAAGAATATGAGATTTAGGTAACACTAAAATATCATCTTT